CGGCTGCTGCTGAGCCCCTGCAGGGGAGGGGAGGGCAGGGGAGGCTGCCTGGGCCCATGGGCAGCTCGGGCAAAACAATTGTCCTGTAACTTAAGATTTATTTATTTATTTTCCCCCCCACTGAGCCATAAGGTGTCAACTAAACAGAGACATTAATTACTGTACAACGTTCTCAGTGAGGACAGGCTGAGAGAGTTGGGGCTGTTCAGCCTGGAGAAGAGAAGGCTCCAGGGAGACCTTCTAGTGACCTCCCAGTACCTGAAGGGGCTCCAGGAAGGCTGGGGAAGGACTTTGGCCAAGGGCAGGGAGTGAGAGAACAAGGGGTGATGGCTTGAAAGTGGCAGAGGGGAGATGGAGATGAGATGTGAGGAAGAAATTGTTTGGTGTGAGGGTGGTGAGACAGTGTCCCAGGTTGGCCAGAGAAGCTGTGGCTGCTCCTCCCTGGAAGTGTTCAAGGCCAGGTTGGATGAGGCTTTGAGCAACCTGGTCTAGTGGAAAGTGTCCCTGCTGCTGGCAGGGGGGTTGGAACTGGATGGGCTTTAAGGTCCCTTCCAACCCAAACGGGTCTGGGATTCTAAACCAGCAGCATTAGGTTGTTTATTGAGAAACAATGCAAAACCAAGTTGTTCATCTCTCCTGCAACAGCTGCTTTCTCATTAATCTGTTTGTTTGCTCTAAGAACAAGTATCAGGGCTCTCCTTCCCTTGGTATCTCTCAGCAGGCACCACTGGTTCTCTGTAGCTCCCTTATTTTTTAATACACCATAGAAACTAGGCAGTGGCTCTTGGTCTGATATGAGAAGTCTTGAGCACTGGTTATTTGGGAGAAAACTGTGCATGTGTTTGGCTTTGATAGGAAAGAGTCACAATAACTGTTACTGAATTGAAGATGAACAGGTACTCGGGTGCTTTACTGCAGAAAGACAGGTTTGGTTCTGAGCTTTTCTTGTTTGTCTTGTTGAATGGAAGGTGTGGTAACTCTATTATTATATATTTCAATCCAATAGCTGCTGACAACCTGCTCAGATCTTGTAAGGCATGTTAAAATGAGGTACTGTGTCAGAAACATCCCCTTGCCATATAACTGCTGCATTAGCAAGTGACCTTTAAATGGGTAAGGAGAGAAAACTGATTGACTGAGTGATGTTTAAAAAGGCTGATGAAGCTGCCAGCATCACAGTGTTAAAGACAACATGAGGAAACACTGAAAAGTGGGAAGAAGAAATTACATTCTTCAAAACTTGCTACTTGACTTTGACTTTTCCTTTCTGGAATTATTCTTCAACTGAATTGTTGGGCGGGGACATCCCAGAGGAATCTCTCTCTCTTTCTCTCATGTGAGCACATGCACATACATACTGAGATGAAAATGGCTTCAGGAACAAATACAGTATTTTATTTTCAATAAAAACTATTGAAAATTTATTTTCAATAAAACCACCAGTAGTTCTCTCGTTCCCTTTGTCCACAGAACATGGTTCAGTTTCCTCTTTAATGGACTTGATTATTTTATGCGTTTATTTTTCTTTTGGTCCTGAAATGAGTTGATAGTGCTGAAAACTCTCCTCCTTTGCTTAATTTGAAAAATTTTGGCTTTGTTTTTCGTTACTGCTAAGAAGACAAATGAATTTGCACTCAGAGAATGTAACAAATTCCCCAAATCATAGATTTTTTTTTTTTTTTTTTTTTTCCAATTGATCTCCCTGTTTCTGGATGATGTTAGAACTTTAAAAATATACATTGGCTGACTTAAGGCACCTTTTGTATTTAGATTATCAAGTTAATTTGAAAATCAGTGATGTAAAAATAGTTTTAAACATTCACTTAATAAAGAGGGAAAGGAGAACGTTTCTTCAATGAAGTATTTTTCTTTGAAAGATAAAGCTTAAGACAAAAAATGTGCTGAATTTTTAAGGCTAAGCATAATGCTATTTTACTGCTATTTTTTTTTTTTAAATGGATTTCCTGATTTTTCCAAACAATAGAATTACCTGCAACTGCCAGCATTTTATGACACTTAATTTCACAGGAATTTTTGCTAATCTTTCTGACACCAGGTTATTAGCAGGCTTTGTGTTATGGAATAATCGTAAATTTCAAGGTTAATTTTTTTTCAAAATGCATCTAGATTTTACAGCTGCAAAAGAGGATCTAAGTCAATGTCTTAAAATTTTTTGAGCCACTTCTATTATTACTCCATAATCTATTATTTTACTTAGACTATTTTTTAGAAAAATCAGTTTATAAAACCAAGTGACTTGGGCTGCCTGTCAGAAAGATTATAAATACTTATAAAAACCTGGCCCAAAAGGAGGGTGACTTATAGAATAATTATTTTCTGGACTTATAGGATAATTATTTTCTGGATAGCCCTGCCAGAGAAATCAGCCTTTGGGCTTTTTGTTTCTCCACAGAAGGTGTGTGATATCTCCTGGTTTTGCTTCTGCTACTAAAGTTTTTTTTTAAAAAAAAGTTGTATTACAGAAAGTTAGTTTTATTTTTGGGCCCACAGCTTTTCCTCCAAATTGTGAAATATAAAATGATACAGGAAGAGAAACTTTGGCTTGTGGTCAGCTTTTTGTTACAGTCCTCTTTTATGTGAAATAGTAGAGGTTTGGGAAATATTTGGGTTGAATGTCAGACACACTTTGTTTAGAATCACTGGTGTGCTTCATGTTGCTAACTCTCTATTTTCTTCCTTCCTTAATGCTTTTGGTTGCTCTTGCTATTTTTCATTTTAATTTAAAGAGCTCACATACCAAGAGAACAGTATAATTGCAAAATTAGACTTGTTCTGTGAATGAATTTTTAAAAAAAAAACAAACCCAAAACCCTTGATGCAAATTAATTTAAAGTATGTTCTTCACCAAGATAAAAATTCAGTGTGTTGCTGCTCTGTGTGGGCGAGGAAAGAAAAGGCTCTGATGGAACGAGGATTAAATAACCATGTGATGGTTCCCCCTCTACTCGGTGAGCTGACGTGAGATGTGTCCTGAGAACTCCTGAAAAACTTCCTGGTAGCAGAGTGTGCTTTCTTTCCTGCCTTCAGTTAATTAAAGGAAAATGAAGTTATTAATTAGTGCTGTGGCCTGGCACGTAGCCACTAAAATACTTTTATTTTCTTGGTTCTCCTTTCTTCCACTGTTTGTTTTTAGCCAGTGGAAGTATTTTCTTGTCCCACTTGTAGTCTGTAAACATTATTTTTTATAATTATCAAGTTGCAATGACAACTTGAGGAGTTAATTCTCTGTAACTGTAAAAGCTGTAGCAGTAGATCTAAGCAGATTAGACTGTTCTGTCATAAAACTAGATTTAAAAAAAAGAAAAAAGGTATTTTTGTTCATCTTTGATCCATTTTTAACGACTTCTCTGAACTCTTAATGGTGTCAGTAAACAGTGGGTATGTTAAGAGTGGTATTGGAGGAGGTCTCAGGGTTGGTGTTTCAAATGAAGGATGTGCTGAACAAGCCCAGCCCTGGAGCAAAGCTCTTGGTAATTCTTTGCATCAGAACTTGGTCTGTTTCCTGAAACACTGAACTGCTGCTGCTTTTCTTCATTTTACATTTTTCTGTCTGTTGTATCTGGGTATTCTCATACATATAAATTACTCCCCCCCTGCCCCCATCTCCCAACTTTCATAATTATTTTCACCTCATTACTTTGTGGCAAAAAATGTTGGTTGCAGCATGAGGACAGCACGAAAAGCACTTCCAAGTCTTAGTGAAAATGTATCAGTCTGAGCTGATGGCTGTAGCTGTGTTTGGAGGAGCTGTCTGCTACGAGGGCAGTCAAAGCTCCTGCATGAGCTCCTTGGCTCCACAAAGAACACCTGCTGCTGCCTCTTCCTGTCTGACACTCATCTGGAATGAACTTTTACTCTCAAGTAGGGGCTGATGTTTTGGTTTGTATTGCTTTTGGGATGTTTCCTGAAGAAGTGTTAAAATCCTCCTCGGTGTAAGTGACAGAAAACCTTCCCGGTTTCACTGGTTAGATTTTCTGTTTTCTCAGGAAGGTGGTGCAGTTTTATTTGTGGTTTGGTTGTTTGTTTTCCCCCATTGGCATCTCAAACTTCTATATTGCGTGATTCTCTTCTAAAAATAAATGCTGTTACTCTTTTTTTTTATTATTTTTTAATAGGTCCCTCGTAGTTGTCCACTTCTGGGCGCCGTGGGCTCCTCAGTGTGCTCAGATGAACGAGGTTATGGCAGCGCTGGCAAAGGAATACACACAGGTTACGTTTGTGAAGGTAAGTCAGGCAGCTGAGCTGGTTTTAAACAAGAGGAGAGCCCTCTTTACAAAATATGAGTAAAGTATTACAAAATACAGGTGAAGTTGTTTTCCAGGTTCCTTTGTGGCTTTGTTTTTAGCCATTGAGTTGAACATATGCAAAAGGTGCATCAAAAATCTGTGGGGTGAAAGTTCTAGGTTCATCTTTCCAAACTTGATATTGCAAGCTTAAATAACACCTTCATTTTATCATGCTGCTTAAAGGAGGAAAAAAATAAAATAAAAATCAATCTAGTAAGATACAATGAAGGTTTCTTTGCCACTGGCTACTCTGCCTGACAAATAGGCTTTTAAATTTCTGCCTGCAATGTCTCAGTCCTTCAGTTCTGTAGATAACCGTATTTTTAAAGCATGATTTTTTTATCCCTGGATTTTAGATTAATTTGGCAACTCTGTTCTTTTCAAGTGCGCTGGAGCTTTCATTTGTTCACATGGTGTTATTGGTTAGGTACATAGATTGAACACAGAGATTTTCTGCCTGATACTAAAGATGAAGAGTAATCTTCGTGAAGTTTAAAGAAAGATAAATTGAAGTCTTTAAATTGAAGTCTTTAAATTTATCTGCACTAAAATTAAGTGCAACGTTTTTAGTCTCAGATGACAGTCATGTAGTGCTGGATGATATGAACGCAAATGAGGTGCTATATTTTTGTGAGATCATCTGCATGTTCTAGTAAGAGAACCAGTGTGGAGGGAGAAATGAAAGCACTTCATCAACATGCTGTTCGTTTTAAAACAACTTTCTCTCGTTAATGGGACACTTCAGTGATTATGAGGGCAGGGAGTAATGGAGCAGCCAGCTGTGTGTGGGTATTTTAACTTGATTTCTTACAGCCCTTAGATTTTCTGGTTCGTTTTGGGTTTTTTTTAACGATTCCTCTCTCAGTTGGTATTTATCTCTGTAAAACAGAAGGATGGAACTATTTTAATGGCAGTGCTTTATTACGTAGAGCTTCAAAAGAGCACTTTTCAACACTTGGAATATTCAAGATGCTTAAATTTATATAGAGTCGTTATAGCTTTTAGCAGGCCCAAGACAGTTTGAAAATTCTCAGTTGCCTCTCTGTTATTCATATTCATATATAATTTATTATTCCACTGTAATTTATTTCTTAACAACAAGGTTCTGAAGTAATCAAGTGCTGCAAAACAAAGATAATGGCCCCTCCTTCCCCACCCCATGCCCCTGGTACTACTGACATACTTGTTTAGAGAAAATAAGCTGCTGAAGACTTGGGTGACTTTTCTTAACACATTTTTTGTGGAGAGGCTTCTCACGGGAAGGTATTTTATTTTGTAGTTTTTTGCCTGATTTTGGTCTCTGTTCCAGAATAGCCAGTCAGCCTTTTGATTGGCGAGAACCTGTTAATTCAACAGATGAGTACAGATGCCCGACCAAGACCTTGCAGATCATGAACAGTTACATTCTAGAGTTCAGCAATAATCACAAAATCCCAGAATTGCCTTGATTGGGAAAGACCTTTAAGATCAAGTCCAATCATTAACCTCACACTGACGAGTCCCCAGCTACACCATGTTAATGAATCAGACTTCAGAACTGTCCATAAATCTTGGAGTCTTTCTAAATGCAATTTCTCATGTCAGTTGTTGCGTAGCCTAACTCAAAGATCCTTGGTTTGGTTAAAATGAAAGTGTGTCTATATCCAGAAATAGTTAGAAACAATGTTTTGGAAAGTTGTACCTGTAGGAGCAAGTTACTGAAATATGAAATCAAACCTGTTTTGTATGTGTGAACCTTGCCAGAGTGGAACATAAGTGTCCCAAGTAAGTCAGAAATTTTACTGAAAAAGAAAATTAATATTATAGGTAGAAGTCATTTAATCATTTGCCACTTGGGAGAGAATAGATAATTGGAATGTGTTTACAGATTTCAATTTGTAGCTCTAGTTTCTCAGCTGATCCTGTCACATTGATTTCCAGAAACAGAGGTGAAGCTTGGACTGTCCGTTTTGACTTACTCTGGCTTGTTTCTGTATTTAGTGAGTTTATTAAGATCCTTTCTAGCTGGAGCAAATCAAAACATGCTGTAGTAATGCAGAGGTGAAGCTTGGACTGTCTGTTTTGACTTACTCTGGCTTGCTTCTGTATTTAGTGAGTTTATTAAGATCCTGTCCAGCTGGAGCAAATCAAAACATGCTGTAGTAATAAAATATTCAGCACTTCACTACATTTTGGTTAATACCGAGAACAATCACATTGTTTTCTAAAATCCATCAGGGTGGAGGGGGTGGGCAGGAGCTGCTGTTAAGATGCTTGTTCATTCACTGTAAGGTTTGTGGAATAAGAATTTGAAAGGCTTTTTCTTCTGTACACTGGGTGTCAGGATTCTGTTTGAAACATTTAGATCTATTACCACTTTTTTAACCATTAATTCTGCAGTTGTTACAGAGCTGTTAACCTATGCACAGAAAATCAGGGATTTGAGTTAATGTAAAGATACATTTTCTTGGCAAATTACTACGTTACAGAATTTCAAGGTATGCCTTTGAATGCTGAGTAAAATTAGAACCAATGATCCCAGCCAGCTTTGCCACTCAATACTCAGTAGACTTGCAGGAGTTAAAAATGAAATTGAGTAGACATCAATAGCTTATTGGAGAAACACTGCTTTTCTCTTCATAATTTGCAGGAGGCTACAAATGTCAGTCGTGATGTACTGCCCCTTGAAATTAGTCAATAGAGCAAACAGCAAGAATTGCTGTGGGCAGAAAATAAGCACTGTAATCATGACATAACTGGGGTCAATGATTTATGGATTTCAATATAGTAGTAGCTGCATATGATTGAAAATTTACTAGGTCACTAGTGCACCAAAAATTTTATTCGCAGCCTCCGGGCATCTTTTGAAATGTGCAACAAAATAAAAACCTCTGAACCTGTTTTGACACTGTGTAGGCTCAGTGGATGACACGCCAGCCCAGCGAGTCTCATTTAAATGCAAATGTGTCACAAACTTCTGCATCAGATTCTTTTTAAATGTATAAAATGCCTAGAAGAACATTCTAGACAGGATTGACATCCACTGTAAAACTTTAAAGAAGATTATGAAAATAATCTTTTTTTTTTCCCTGTTTTTTATTTTTTGTGGGGTTTTTGGCTCTTTTTTTTTTTTTTTTTTAGCTGGAAGCTGAAGCTGTGCCTGAAGTATCTGAAAAATATGGAATTAGTTCTGTTCCAACGTTCTTATTCTTTAAGGTAAGAGAAAATGGATTTAAGATTAAAATGGGATTCCATGTGGATGCTTAATATGTATGCTTTAATACTGCTGCCAGAAGAGCAGAACCATAAGAACGTCCTCAGTGAAGAAACACTTATGTATCTGATTTAAGTATATCCAGTGGAACTTAAAAAAGTAGGTAGAAACAGTTCTTGGGCTTTATATGTGATATTTCAGAGTTGACTTTGGGATTCTTACATAGTTTTATATTTAGTTGTCGTACCTTGTATTGGGTTAAAACATTTTCAGTAAGGTATCTTTGTGTAGCTGTAGTTCTACAACATGGCAAGAACTCAAGGAAATAATCTTCTGGTAGAAATGACAACTCTGTTTGGGTCACCTTTGCCTGTGATAATAAAATTCAAGATATTTTGTGTAATAAATTCTTCAAATAGCAAATTTGTTCTCATTAACAGTAGCCAGCCAACAGAATGGTGGGAGTCTTGGAACTAAAGACTGGCTGAAAGATCAGTACAGAAATCCACCCCGCATCTGAGAAATCTATACCTTGTATGGTGGTTTTACTGGTTTTTTTTATTACAGTACAGAATCTGAATTTAATCCTTTTAACACAAGCATTTGTTTTGGTTTCCTTAGAATTCTCAGAAGATTGACAGGTTAGATGGTGCACATGCCCCAGAGCTGACCAAAAAGGTGCAGCGCCACGTGTCCAGCAGTTCTGTGTCCACCGCCGCCCATGACAGCACCAAGGAAGATCTGAATGCGCGTCTGAAGAAGCTCATCAATGCTGCTCCTTGCATGCTGTTCATGAAAGGCTCTCCAAAAGAACCTCGCTGTGGTGAGGACTGAAGCTCGTGTTCAGTGTGACAGCACTTGCTTTGGGCTGGTTGTCAGATTTAATCAGTTTTGGGGTGATACATCCCACCAGTATCTTGTACCCCTAGAAACATGAATGAAAGTATTTGCCCAGGTGGCCAAGAAGGCCAAGGGCATCCTGGCCTGGATCAGCAGCGGTGTGGCCAGTAGGACCAGGGAAGTTCTCTTCCCCCTGTCCTGGGCACTGGTGAGGCCACCGCTCAAGTGCTGGGTTCAGTGTTGGGCCCCTGAGTCCAAGAAGGACATGGAGGTGCTGGAGCGTGTCCAGAGAAGGGAACGGAGCTGAGGAAGGGTCTGGAGCACAAGTGTGCTGAGTTCCCTTGTGGCTGAGGGAACTGGGGGTGTTGAGCCTGGAGAAAAGGAGGCTGAGGGGAGACCTTCTGGCTCTGTCCAAGTCCCTGCAAGGAGGGTGGAGAGAGGTGGGGGTGGGTCTGTTCAACCAAGGACCAAGGGACAGGACAAGAGGAAATGGGCTCCAGTTGTGGCCAGGGCAGTTGAGATGGGATGTGAGGAAGAATTTCTTTGCTGCAAGGGTTCTGAGGCATTGGAAGGGGTTGCCCAGGGCAGTGGTGGAGTCCCCATCCCTGGAGGGATTGAAGAGTCGTGTAGACACAGTGCTGAGGGACATGGGTTAGTCGTAGGGGACTTGTCAGTGCTGGGTTCATGATTGGACTCAATGATCTTAAAGGGCTTTTCCAGTCCAAGCAATTCTGTGAGTTGTTTGGCAGGTGTGTGTGAGCTGTAGGAGTAGAACATGGTTCTTACTGTGTCCATGGTGAACTCAGAGGTGCTGTGCAATCAGTGGTGAGTGTCCTCTGAACTGCTCGTGTGCCCATGTTCTCTGTGATGCCCAAGTCAGCCTCTGCTTCTCTGTGATCCCTGGACAGCACAGGCACTAGACCACCACTTCCCCTTTGGGTTTCTGTGAGTGCTCAGTAGAGAACTGGCTCTCTGAGGGGCGTTGAGCAGAACACCAGGCAGACTTTAAAATTAGCCAGAGAAAAGACCCTTTACTGTTTTTCATGTGTTTGAATTTTTTTATTCAAGAGAATTTTGAGGCTATTTAAAGGAAAAACCCACAAACTACAGAAGACATTGAGGCATCAGGATTAAGGATAATTAGGTACCTCATCATAAACTCAATAAGGAAAGTGACTTAGGAGTGTAACACAGGTTCACTTGCATGTCTTAATATGACAAAGGAGACATTTCTTCAAACATTTGATCCCTCATACCCCATAAAGAGTGCACAGGATACTAAATAGACATATATATATTAAAATTGAAAGCATTAAAATGTAGTAAGACACATGAAAACATCTGAACTTACAGCCCTTAAACTTGTAGTTAATACCACGCCTGCTTGAGACCACTGTGATAGTTTCTGGCAGTAGTTGGGAGATGTTAGTAAGTTGGGTCCACTAAACTTAGAACAGACAAACTCTTTGTCAAGGTGAAGGTAATTTAACATTTTGCCAGAGAGAATATGGATCTGTTATAAGAGAAGTAAGAATAATAAAAATATAATGAAATAAAAGGAGCCACGCTTGTTTAAAGGTGAAGATATTTTTAATTGTGTCTATTTTGATACAAATAATAGACTTTCACTCAAGACTTCAGTGCAGTTGGCGAGTAGAGGGATCCCTGTCCAGTGGGGTGTTTTGGGATCTTGCAGTTTGTAATTTCTCCGTTGTAAAAGCAGCTGAGCATTGTGTAAAGTAAGATTTGTCCCCTCAGCTATGAGTTTCCTGGCAGTTGTATGTGGTTGGTATGTATGTTGTATTATTTCAGCAGATTCATTTGGACTGTGGCAGCATTTGTTTATTTGCCTCATCAATACCATCGTTTATTTAGGGTGTTTTTATTGGTGTAGAATCTGGCCTGGCATTTTTGATTGCTTATATAACTGCTTAAAACGTTTTGTTAGCAGTTTAATTATTCCTTGTAATGCATGTATGGCATTTCTTCAGAAATCCCACCTAAAATCTTTTGTTATGAAAGTAAAGCTGTTCTGGCACTTTATCCCTAAGCATCACGTTTCCAGCCTGCTACCATAACCCTTCAGAATGAAACACAACCAATCCATCTTTCTAGTTTGCATGTAATTGCCTACAGCTAAAATAAAGCTTCCCCCCCTCCTAGTTCCTTACAGTAGAAATGAGTTAATATATTGGCAATGAAATAACCATCAGCAATCAGCCTTTAGCTGTTTACTAATGAACTCCCAGATGTATGAAGAATTTCAGAATCTGTGTTTTACTTCAGGCTGTACATGAACTTAACACTTCAGTTGTAGAAAGAAAAGCAACGTAGATGCCATACATATAAATACTGCTACTTCATATCTCAATAAACTGCAGATCATGAAAACTGCAGAAAGCTGTAGGAAAAAAAAAATCCATATTTCAAAAACTAATAGGTGGTCTTGCAAGCTGAAATCAAAGGTTATTCTTCTATGGTACTTTGGTTCTTTTTCCCATTCGAAGCTTCTTTATTTTTTTATTCCTTTATTAAAGCCTTTAAGCATTGTCTCTTTTCTCTCTTTTTTTTTTTTAATATTTTTGTAGCAGTTTTCATTTGCACAGCATTTGTTGGGATTCTTTGAGAGAATGGGTAGGATTGCAAGGGCATTTGAATCCAAAATGAAATGAGTTGGCAAAGGTATAAACCACAGGTTTATCATCACAGTGATTTATGGACAAATTCTCATGGATCCTTTTTGCAGAGCATGTCACAGTGTTGTCTGGAAGGCTTCCACTTCCTTGGAAGGAATGTGTGTGAAAGCAACAGTGCCAGGTGTTGAAATACTTTAGGATAAATACCACGTGTTAGAAATGAAGCCAAATTCCAAAATCTTTCAGTGTGTTGCAATATTCTTAGTGGTTTTTTCCCCTGATTAACGTAATTTTCATAGCAGAGCAAATAGGTTGTGGAGGAAGAGTGGAGTTGGGAATCAAGATTGGATCATCAGTCCTAAAGATCAAGTCGTTGGCTTCCTTGTGCTGTAAAGTACAGCAGACCTCATCTGTTTTCTTAGATATCTGCAGTACTTTGTAGGCTGATGTCTTCTCTGGAGGATCGTTTGTGCTTCTGTGTCACTGGAAGTGTTAAAGTGGATGAAGGTGACTTTGAGCATCAGTCTTAAGATTTCCTGTCAGGTTGCCCCATAAAGAATGGATTTATTCACATAAAAGTTACAGCTGAGGTGTGGGTGGCGTGTGTGTGCTTTGTTTAAGTGATTTGGAAGAGTTTCTGTAGAGACAAATGTTTAAAAAACAATTAATCTTCTTTTTAAAAAAATAAAAATTAATATTTCACTTCAACAACAATGGTGAATTTAAAATAGAGTAGAAGGAGTATTGTTTGAAAGTGAAATTCTGTGTGTTTCCCTCCAGTGTAGGAAGATTTAGGTGATGGGGACTGTAAATTCTATTATATTAAGTTTCATGCATATAACTTACAAATAATGTCATTATTTTCTTAGGAAAAAGGATGTGTAGCTATAGAAGGGAGAAACTTTTTTTTTCTGCAATTGGCCACATAATAAACTTACAAAAACTGGTTGTTTACATTGTAATATTCAGTGTTTCATATCCTACTGTGAGATAGTGCTGTCAGAGAAGGACATAATGAAGACCTCTCATAAATGAAAACAAAACATGGTGTGAAGATGTCACAAGGAATATCAAATACTCATGTGAATGTAAAGAGTTTAAAAGAAGTAAAGGAATCTGCCTTTTACCATGAAAGGAGAAAGGACGTGGTTTTGAAGTGAGAGTAGCAGAAAATAGTGTAAAAGCCAAGTTTTGAAGTTAAACTAGTGACAGTAGGGGGTTCAAACCCTGGTTCCTACATTCTGTGTCAGTTTAATCCATGTTTGGTGTTGGAGAAGCTCAGTAGTAGCTGGGGGAAGAAATGAGAGGAGTAAAGTGATGTGTAATTAGAGGAATGAAAATGCTGCTGACGATGCTGTTGTGGTCACTGAGAAGCTTTTCTTTATGGATGCTAAATAAGGAAGAGCTGGAAAAGACCGAATAAGGGAATGCATTTAACTTTGAGTTAATTGTATGTTGGAACAACGGAGACACTTACATGAAGGTTACATACTGTGTAAGCTCTTTAAATAGAGAAGCACCAGACTTGCCAAGCTGTCCAGGTACTTTTTTTGTAATTTCAGTAATAAATATGTTTTTTGCCCCTTTATAATATTTGAGAATATTGATAGAGCAAAGAATAACACGCTAAAGCTGTTTGGAACTCACTAGAAGAATTGCATTTTTTAAATGAATAAGGTTTAGTACAGACATGGGAACACTTCATCTGAAGTTATATGTAATTCCTCTTCTTGTGTTCGCAGGTTTCAGCAAACAGATGGTGGAGATTCTGAACAAACATGGCATTTCATTTAGCAGTTTTGATATTTTTTCTGATGAAGAAGTTCGTCAGGGGCTGAAAACGTATTCAAATTGGCCAACTTATCCGCAGTTGTATGTAGCTGGAGAGCTTATAGGTGGACTTGATATTATCAAGGTTAGAAACTGAGAAATTCTCCATCTTGTTACTTGTCACAAGGATGTTCTTCTTGCTTTTTACATGAGATTTTTGTCTTGTCCCCAATCTCTGTAGGAACTGGAGGCATCTGGAGAACTGGACACGATTTGTCCGAAGGCACAGAAGCTGGAGGACAGGTGTGGTGTATTACACCATTATTTTAAGGGTGTCTATTTTTGAGGTTTCCTGTATGTTCCTTTATACAGGGGGAACCCCTTATATAAATTCCTGTTCTTTGACTTTGTCAGAAGTGTGTCAAGATGTTCTTTAATTACAGAACTCCTGCAGTTGTTTAACATGTGCCATTTTCTATACAGTGAGCATCACTTTATATTCAGCTGTACTGTCCCAATAGGCTTTGCTTATTACATATGTAGTTTGTTAATTTTTAATTACAGCA